TAGCTGCAAATTATTGAGAGTCAGTTGACATGTATAGTTGCAAATTATTGAGAGTTAGTTGACATGTATAGCTGCAAGTTATTGAGAGTTAGTTGACATGTATAGATGCAAATTATTGAGAATTAGTTGACATGTATAGTTGCAAATTATTGAGAGTTAGTTGACATATATAGTTGCAAATTTTTGAGAGTTAGTTGACATGTATATGTGCAAATTATTGAGAGTTAGTTGACATGTATAGTTGCAAATTATTGAGAGTTAGTTGACATGTATAGCTGCAAATTATTGAGAGTTAGTTGACATGTATAGCTGCAAATTATTGAGAGTTAGTTGATGTATAGTTGCAAATTATTGGGAGCAAGTTGACATGTATAGTTACAAATTATTGAGAGTTGGTTGATATATAGTTGCAAATTATTGAGAGTTAGATGGCATGTATAGCTGCAAATTATTGAGAGTTAGTTGACATATAGTTGCAAATTATTGGGAGTAAGTTGACGTATAGTTGCAAATTATTGAGAGTTAGTTGACATGTATAGCTGCAAATTATTGGAAGTTAGTTGACATGTATAGCTGCAAATTATTGAGAGTTAGTTGACATGTATAGCTGCAAATTATTGAGAGTTAGTTGACATATAGTTGCAAATTATTGAGAGTTAGATGGCATGTATTGTTGCAAATTATTGAGAGTTAGTTAACATATAGTTGCAAATTATTGGGAGTAAGTTGATGTGACGATCTGCGGCTGGAGTGCCCGCTTGAGCCTCTGGGGGGCACTCCTTCCTAGTTTATTGTTTCATTCATGTTTTACCCTGGACTGATTATGGTTTATTTCATGCACCTGTGTTTTATCATCTTGTTTAGTTCACCTGATTTAAGCCCTGTGTTTCTGCCCTGTCTTTGTTGGTTGTTGTATTTATGTGTGCTACGTTGGTGCTTTCACGTCTCTCGAGTCTTGTTTCTAGTGTCTTGTTTTAAGTTTGTTTAATAAAGCTACACTGCGTTTGGACCCAGCCTCAGCTCTGTTTCTCCGCACAGCGTCACAGAACAACCAAACCTCAAAATGGGTCCAGCAGTCGTCAGCAACCGGGCTATGACAGAATACCTGTCGTCAGTCTTGCAAGAGGGCCGGTCTGTCCAAAGGTACGCGAAGGAGTTCCTGTCCATTAGCAGTGTGGGAGCGCTAGATGATATCCAGCTCATGGGCCTGTTTCTGAATGGGCTGGATTATGAGATCGCTCGATGGATGCCGCGGGACCTTGCCAACTGGACTCTTGACGGGTATGTCGCTCGGGCTTGTTCCTTGCAGGACCTCTTCACTACTGCGCGCTTATTCTACTCGACACCTGCCGAGTGTACTTTACCCGCGAAGCCCTCGTCGTCTTCACCGCTGGTTCACGTCAGTCACGACGAGCCCGCGCTTCACGTGCGCATTGACGAGCCCGCGACTCACGTCAGCCCAGCCGAGCCCGCGCTTCACGTCAGCCCAGCCGAACTCGCGATTCACGTGAGCCCCGCGAGGGAATCTCCGGTTCAAGTGGATGAATCTCCAGTTCAAGTGGATGAGTCTCCGGTTCAAGTGAGTGAATCTTCAGTTCAAGTGAGTGATCCTGTTCAAGTGGATGAATCTCCTGTTCAAGTGGATGAATCTCCTGTTCAAGTGGATGAATCTCCTGTTCAAGTGGATGAATCTCCTGTTCAAGTGGATGAATCTCCAGTTCAAGTGGATGAATCTCCAGTTCAAGTGGATGAGTCTCCGGTTCAAGTGAGTGAATCTTCAGTTCAAGTGAGTGATCCTGTTCAAGTGGATGAATCTCCGGTTCAAGTGGATGAATCTCCAGTTCAAGTGAGGGCTGAGTCTTCAGTTCAAGTGAGTGCCGAATCTTCAGTTCAAGTGGGCGAGTCTCCTGTTCAAGTGAGTGAATCTTCAGTTCAAGTGAGTGATCCTGTTCAAGTGGATGAATCTCCGGTTCAAGTGGATGAATCTCCAGTTCAAGTGAGGGCTGAGTCTTCAGTTCAAGTGAGTGCCGAATCTTCAGTTCAAGTGGGCGAGTCTCCTGTTCAAGTGAGTGAATCTTCAGTTCAAGTGAGTGATCCTGTTCAAGTGGATGAATCTCCTCTTCAAGTGGCTGAATCTCCTCTTCAAGTGAGCGCTGAATCTCCTCTTCAAGTGAGCGCTGAATCTCCTCTTCAAGTGAGCGCTGCATCTCCTCTTCAAGTGAGCGCTGCATCTCCTCTTCAAGTGAGCTCTGCATCTCCTCTTCAAGTGAGCGCTGCATCTCCAGTTCAAGTGAGTGAGTTGTCCAGCCCAGCGAGTGTGTCTAGCCCTGTGACGCGCCGCCGCAGGAGTAGGAGAAGGAGGACTCGTTTGGTTCGCCAGGCCCCGGTGAGCGTGCCCAGACTCCTCGCTCTGCCGGCCCCGCCTCTGCGCCTCGCCCTGCCGGCCCCGCCTCTGCGCCTCGCTCTGCCGGCCCCGCCTCTGCGCCTCGCTCTGCCTGCACCCTTCAAGCTCCGGGAGGTCTTTCCTGTACCCGTTCACCACCCAGAGGCTCCTCCCGTGAATTTCCCCAAGTATTTTTTGGGGGGGGGCAGTAGGTACTCTGTGGGGGCCATGGAGGTGATCCTGACATGGACCTCTGAGTCTGTGAGGGCCATGGAGGCGAGGCTGTCATGGACCTTGCCTGTGTCTGCTCCGCCCTCGTCTCTGTCTGAGTCTGCTCCGCCAAAGTCTGCTCCGCCCTGGCCTCTGCCTCGTCCTGCTCCGTCCTGGCCTCTGCCTCGTCCTGCTCCGCTCTGGCCTCTGCCTCGTCCTGCTCCGCCCTGGCCTCTGCCTCGTCCTGCTCTGCCCTGGCCTCCGCCTCGTCCTGCTCCGCCTTGGTCTCCGGCCCAGTCTGGTATGCCCATGCTCTGCGGCCCAGGCCCGCCTTGGCTACCTCCTGGTCCTGTTCCCCTGCACGGGCCTGGCCCTCCGTCCCTCCCCCGGGATCACCTTCACTCTGCCCCCCGCCTGGATCGTTCTAGGAGCGTCTGGAAGCCGCTCCTTAGAGGGGGGGTTATGTGACGATCTGCGGCTGGAGTGCCCGCTTGAGCCTCTGGGGGGCACTCCTTCCTAGTTTATTGTTTCATTCATGTTTTACCCTGGACTGATTATGGTTTATTTCATGCACCTGTGTTTTATCATCTTGTTTAGTTCACCTGATTTAAGCCCTGTGTTTCTGCCCTGTCTTTGTTGGTTGTTGTATTTATGTGTGCTACGTTGGTGCTTTCACGTCTCTCGAGTCTTGTTTCTAGTGTCTTGTTTTAAGTTTGTTTAATAAAGCTACACTGCGTTTGGACCCAGCCTCAGCTCTGTTTCTCCGCACAGCGTCACAGTTGATGTATAGTTGCAAATTATTGAGAGATAGTTGACATGTATAGTTTCAAATTATTGAGAGATAGTTGACATTTATAGTTGCAGTGATGGTATATCTTGCCCAAAAAATGATACACTGTTGCTTCAAAGCGAGATAGCGTTAAAGAAATAAAGAAATCATATGCACACTGTTTGTGTGGATGCAGTCAGTTTTGTCTGCAAAAGATGATGTCATTTGATTGGATGTCATGTATTTGACCTTTTACGGCACTACCATTTTTCTAATTTAACACTATATGCAGCATTTTACCTGAGAGAAATACATGCTCAGTTTTAATGTTAGTTTTAAGATGGGGTATAAATGAATGACTGGTAAAACATAGCATTTTGTTTGCATACCTCAAGCACACCAGTTTGGGGGACCACTGGTCTAATCCAGTGGTGTGAGCTTGGGGCGGGACTACTTTTTTTGGCTGGCCATTGGCAGACACAGAACTTTGTGTTTGAGCAAATGAGCAATTACTTTTTGATGATAGACTATGAAAACTACAACTTTTTTCTTTAAAATAATGTGCATGGATACATCAGGAATTGGTATTAAGAAAGTAAATTGAGCCACTTTCAGTTTCATGTTGACTTTCAGCGCAGTGCCGCACACAACCTGTCAGGTGCCGTCCTCAGTTTGGGTTTTGGCACAGACTCATTCATTTAATCCCTCGGTAGGAAGTGCACACTCAAAGCTGTATTTTTCTGGGGCTTTGCAAAGCTGTCAGACCACTGTAGCAGAGCCTGCATTGGAGCAGGAGTGTCAGAGCAGGAGATTATAGCGCACACACACACAGTCCTGGTTCCCACAGCAGCAGAGGACGCCTGTGCTGGGCACGTCAACACCAGTCATCCTTGCTTTCTCTGCTGATGCAGAATACAGTTGAATCCCAGCCAGGGTTAAGCTGGTTCTGCAGGGAATTTTTGAATTGGTTGGTTAAGAGTCGTCACAATACTAACATTTAAACTGTCAATAGCAAAGAATCAAATTTCGTTTTCACATTGAAAACAGGGAGACAGGCTGACAGGCTGAATGAAAGTGCAGATTGACTCTCTGACAGTAGGTGGCTCTTTTGGCAAAGTAAAAATATGGCGGTACACAAGGAAAGTGGTGCGCAACTTTCCATTTCTGACACCCACCTGTCACAGAGAAGACAAAACAAGTTTTCAAACAGCCGATTTTGTAATCGCTATTGAGTTAAAAGAGTACATAGATAAGCCAGCCGCTTCCGGGTTCTTCCTCTGCTATTCACTGTCGCTTAGCTAAATAATCTCTTCATGAGCTTCATCAAGATAACAGGATTGAGCATGTGACCAAGAGTGAAAATCTAATTGGTTGGCTTTCTTTGAGGTTCATTGAAAAAGAGATTAGAAAACCTCTCCATAATAGCCAAAAGATTGGCGACATACTGTATGAAAGTCAAACTGAACAGACTTCGCACCAAACGTTTCGTTTTCGAACAGGCTTTTAGTTTGCTTGATATTCTATTGGGATTTTAAAATTGAAAAAAAAAATTAATTTGATTTTAGAAACATTCACTGGCCTGTATGGGTAACATCTTCTAAATGACCACAAACTCATTTGTTGACTTGTTTCTTGCAGGGGATCAGCAGCCTGTTCAGTTCTCTGAAGGTGGTGCGTTTGTTGCGGCTCGGGCGAGTGGCCCGTAAGCTGGACCACTACATCGAGTACGGTGCAGCGGTGCTGGTGTTGCTGGTGTGTGTGTTCGGCCTGGCCGCCCACTGGTTGGCCTGCATCTGGTACAGCATTGGGGACTACGAGGTCATTGATGAAGAATCCAACTTGGTCCGTACGGACAGCTGGCTGTATCTCCTGGGAGAATCTGTCGGATCACCATATCGCTTCAACGCCAGTGGCATGGGGAAGTGGGAAGGGGGTCCCAGCAAAGACTCGGTCTACATCACATCATTGTATTTCACCATGACCAGCCTGACCAGTATTGGCTTTGGAAACATCGCCCCCACCACAGATGGAGAGAAGATCTTCGCCGTGGCCATGATGATGATTGGCTGTGAGTAAAACCTTTCTCCACCACTATGGGAAAGTCAAGTTGCACTGTGGTACTACATAAATTGCACTTTCTGGAACAAAAGAATGGATCCATTAGTGTAGGGATCAATTTCCTCAAACAACATCAATCAGGAAAAGATCACAATCTGCAATTTTATTTAATAAAAAACCCTGTAAAGATGTTCTGCGTTACCGTGTTTGTTGTAAAGATTTGGACTGCAGGTGTTTTATCTGCTGTTGACAGACTCTCAGAGGAACTTCCGATCTATATAGAGCCCTGTGCTGTTCTAGATAACATTCAGTCCAGACTCGGGCACGCAGAACCTTAAATAATCACTTAGTTAGGCCCTACTTTTCTGCACTGTAGGAACACAGTGATAACTGCAGTAAAAAAAAGTAGATACACTGTAGTTATTAATCTAAATACATGAAAACATGAACACTTGAAAATAAAATATAGAGTAATTAACTACACACACTTTATGAAGCTACTTATTGAGAGTTAGTTGACATGTATAGTTGCAAATTATTGAGAGTTAGTTGACATGTATAGCTCCAAATTATAGCGAGTAAGTTGACATGTATAGTTGAAAATTATTCAGTTAGTTGACATTTATAGCTGCAAATTATTGAGGGGTAATTGACATGTATAACTGAAAATTATTGAGAGTTAGTTGACATGTATAGCTCCAAATTATAGCGAGTAAGTTGACATATATAGTTGCAAATTATTGAGAGTTAGTTGACATGTATAGCTGCAAATTATTGAGAGTTAGTTGACATGTATAGCTCCAAATTATAGCGAGTAAGTTGACATATATAGTTGCAAATTATTGAGAGTTAGTTGACATGTATAGCTGCAAATTATTGAGAGTTAGTTGACATGTATAGTTGCAAATTATTGAGAGTTAATTGACATGTATAGTTTAAATTATTGAGAGTTAGTTGACATGTATAGTTGCAAATTATTGAGAGTTAATTGACATGTATAACTGCAAATTATTGAGAGTTAGTTGACATGTATAGCTCCAAATTATAGCGAGTAAGTTGACATGTATAGTTGAAAATTATTCAGAGTTAGTTGACATTTATAGCTGCAAATTATTGAGGGGTAATTGACATGTATAGCTGCAAATTATTGAGAGTTAGTTGACATGTATAGCTCCAAATTATAGCGAGTAAGTTGACATGTATAGTTTAAAATTATTGAGAGTTAGTTGACATTTATAGTTGCAAATTATTGAGAGTTAATTGACATGTATAGTTGCAAATTATTGAGAGTTAATTGACATGTATAGCTGCAAATTATTGAGAGTTAGTTGACATGTATAGTTGCAAATTATTGAGAGTTAGTTGACATGTATATCTGCAAATCATTGAGAGTTAGTTGACGTATAGTTGCAAATTATTGAGAGTTAGTTGACATGTATAGTTGCAAATTATTGAGAGTTAATTGACATGTGTAGTTTAAATTATTGAGAGTTAGTTGACATGTATAGTTTAAATTATTGAGAGTTAGTTGACATGTATAGCTGCAAATTATTGAGAGCTAGTTGACATTTATAGCTGCAAATTATTGGGAGTTAGTTGATGTATAGTTGCAAATCCGCTCTATTCAGTTCAGTGTTGACATGTTAAAATGACTGCACCATAATACAGCTAAACAAACAAAACAAAACTGTATCTTTTTGTTATTTTAATGCATATTTAAAACTGGATTTTACCAGCATAAAGCCTAAATCTCTGCGCTCACTGTGCTCGCCTTCCCAAATTGTTGACTGGGACATCATCACCTGCTGTTGCCTGAGTGTGTGTGTTTGTGCTAGTGCCGTGTGTAGTGTGGTTGTGTAGGGTCTCTGCGGGTTTGCCCCGTTCAGGGTGTGAGTGGTGCTGTTGGCCGCCTGAGGGTGACGCTGATGTGGAGTGTCATAAAAGTGGGAGAAGACTGACAGAAAGACAGAAGATCCCAGTGTGATCCTGCTGATGCACAGCAAACACAGCAGGCAGACATTCAGTCAGTGTGACACTCAACACTCACACACACCACGGAGAATAAGAATTCAGAATTCGCTTAAAGAAAATAAAGCCTTTCAGATGACAATAATGAGAATTTAAAGAGTGTGCAAAAATGTATGTGCTGCTCATGTTTGTGTGTGTGTGTGGAGATGGGAGAAGTTCGATTAGAGCCACTGCAAGAAATTAAGCACACTAAAGTGATCTCTCTCTCTCTCTCTCTCTCTCTCTCTCTCTCTCTCTCTCTCTCTCTCTCTCTCTCAGACTACAGTCAGGCTACTTCTGTTTAACATACAGGGTTATTGCTGAGAGATGGGCACAGCCAAAGCTTACTTTACAAAACTAATAAAAATACAGTGCTGGTACCAGTGTATAATAATGGTAACAATAACAAAAGGTATTACCATGGCCATTTTTATATGCACTCCAGTAAAAGTCTGTGGCTGGTAAATTTTTTCAGTTTAATTATTTTTAAAGTCTCACCAAAGATGCATTTGTTTGATCAAAAATACAATAAAATCTGTAATATTGCAAAATATTATTACAAATTTAATCAACTGTTTTAACTGTTCTTAACAATTTTCTTAAGCGAAAATTGAAGTTCGCTTGAAGAAGGCCTTTGTTTCAACTTAGAAATTAAAGTTAATGAGTTAATTAAGTGATTCATTGAGTGATGATTGATCATTATTGAATGTCAATGTCAATTGTATTTATATACAGTAGCACTATTAATCACCTAGGTTTCATTGTGCTTCACAATGAAAACAGAACAAAGCAATAAAATATCATTAAAAACAATAAAAACACAATACAATACAACTTCCTCGTTGATTATATGCCAATTTAAACAAATTTGATTTTAGCATAGACTAAAACATACAATGTTAACAAGCAGAATCACCATAGGAGAAAATCAAATTGTTAAGTCACCATTATGGTGATCAGTGTTTGCTTTAGTTGGGCTCTTGAGCCTTACATTTATAACTTTAGATTTTGTCTGGCTGCTAAAACTGAGTGGTGAACAGCCAGATAAACAAAGAGAAAAGGTGATCTGATGGTGTTGGTTGTGTTTTAACATAATTATCACTTGACCTGGATCACCAAACTCATTTAGAGAGTCCTTAACTTGTTGATTACAGCAACACTGTGATTCTATAGCTAACAATTACCATATTTTCAATATAATTCAAAATAAATATTGTTCTGATCGAAACACTTTGAAAAACTATCTTATTTAGACACACTGACATCAATAATCAGCATATGAATCTCAACAATGGTGACAATAATTCAGGGTGCCACCAATCAATCTCCCATCATGCATTGTGGTATAAATACATTATGATCTGATTTGTCTCAGTAATTTCCTTTTTTCTCTTTCAGTGATTCTGCTTGTTAACATCATCACTCAATTAATCACCTAATTAGCTCATTAACTTTAATTTCTAAGTTGACACAAAGGCAGTCTTCAAGTTGAGCGAAATTCGATTTTCAAGGCAGCAGGTGAACATGATACATTCAAGATAATACTGTTAATGACTTTTACTGAATGTACTATCTGATATTTTTAAAGAGTAGATTTCTAAGAACCCATATTTTCCTAAAGTAGATCTTTCTATATATTTAGCAGAATTATTTATTGGCAGTATTTGTCTCTGTAGTTTGTCTGACTGTATGAGAGAGAGAGAGAGAGCTCTCATAGGGCCTGTATTCTGTTTGTTACTCATTTTCTCGTCTCTTCTCCCCCTGGAGGCTCATTAGAAGCGTGTTACACTTCAGTGAGAACACAGAGACCATAAAAGCGATGATTATTACATTAGCAAAGCTCCTCTGAGAGTGGGTGGGATGCAATCAAATCATGGTCAAAATGCTTGAGAGCTTGTGAAAGATGCAGTTTATTAGGATGGCCGATATAACTGATATAATTGAAAGCCGATTACCGATATATTGGCTGATATAAATCCAGATTTTTATATAATTTTGAGAGCCTGATTAAAAAACATAAGTTCACAGGATTAAAATCCATGTCCCATACACACAATTACAGTGTTCTCGTTATAATTTTATGTAGCCGATATGACAGACTTGCGCTGCACATGTTGCACTGAACCTTATTTTCCTTTTTTTGAAATGAGTTCAATCATATTTCAAGCAGTTCAAAACCATCATGGTGAACGGTGCAGATCTGAAGTTTCTTGACTGAAGGAAATAATCGTTTTTTTATCGGCTTTAATATAGTGGCCAAACCTTCTTATCGGACCGATAACATTAAAAATGAACAATTATCGGCCGATTGTGGCGGATATGTCCTGTATCCCTACAGTTTATGTGTGATGCCCAACAATCATAACCACATTACCCATACCATATACACTGTTTAATATTATACAGCTATGTGGAGCAAGACACATAATGTCTCAGTGTGGGTGGAGTGACCCAGAGCTACATCACAAAAATAGAAACCAAACGAGCAACAAAATGTCACATGTCGCTTGTTGTAGCTGCAACTGGTTAGGACAAATCTGAAATCATCTGAAATCATGTAGTCTGAGTAGATACTTTGCATACTTTATAGTATGAATGAATGAATGAAATTGAATACTACATCTGCCATGTTGTCATTATCGTGATCTACAAGCATCAAATTGTTAATTCACCATTATGGTGATCAGTGTTTGCTTTAGTTGGGCTCTTGAGCCTTACATTTATAACTTTAGATTTTGTCTGGCTGCTAAAACTGAGTGGTGAACAGTCAGGTGATCTGATGGTGTTGGTTGTGTTTTAACATAATCATCACTTGTTCTGAATCACCAAACTCATTTAGAGAGTCTTTAACTTCATTACAGCAACACTGTGATTCTATATCCAACAATTATCACAAATATCACGCTTCACTGCCGTTTATAAATAGCCTCATGGGATAGAGAAGTCCATTGTATGCTCACTTCAGATCATCCAGGGACTTTTTGCTTTCTGTTTTTTATATTG